AGCACTAGAAGCCATACTTTCGTGTTTTTCCATCAGTCAAAATTACGCGCATTGTGTGAAGTTTTAAACACATCATCATAGATCTTCTCAGTCAGTCTATGATAAACATTTGTAGGAAGAGTATTTGAAATTGTTCAAACTGTCTTCCAAATTAGGAGTCATGGGATGGGCTGCCTAACAGTCCAGAAGATATTTGCACTCATAACATATTCTTAGATATTTCAATAAATTTGGTATTTACAGAGTATTAATGGAAGGAGCCCGGGCCGGGGTACGCAACTTACGAAGCAGCAATTGAGGCTTAAATTACGGGTATGTCGAGACCTTCGTGAGTCGAAAAATTTTAATAAATCCAGGGGAGAAGAAAAGCTCTTTGCGAGACCCAGAAGAGCCTCGTAATGAGTTGCGATTTTGCTTGATCATAAAATGTCGCGGTAAAAAAAAATCTTTTTCTGGTGAAAATTCTTGATATAGATCAAAAAGATAAGAATCACTTAGAATAAGATTGCAGCGAAAATTTACTTACACCAATTAGGTGTCCATATTATGCGTGAGTTTAAAAACTGGCTAAAAGTTTTTTTTTGTCGAGACCGAAAAATATCTGTAAAAAAATCGTCTGATTTGGTGAAGTTTGCGTGAATTTACGATGCAACTTTGCACGTCATCTGTGGATACCGTACTACATTTAAATCATAATTGTCTGGTTCTTGTGCTAGACACGACTGCAAAACTAGACACGACTGCAAATTTTCGGCCGCTGCTTGAGCCGTGAACCCCGGCCCTCAAAGGAAAAGTTCAATTGTTAGCTGGTCTAGTTTTTTTTGAAAATTTTCCTGGCCCAATATGACAAGGGTTTCCGATAGCTCTTCATAACTATGAGGATAATGAAAGGGTTGAACACTGAAATGAAGAGAGGCGCCATGCTAATCATTTCTTTCGCGAACCAGTTGTTTTCCATCGGATAGCGGTACCTCAGATGCACCGGAACACACAATTCGTAGTACACCTAGAGGGGAAATAACTCTACAGTTAGCGGAATTTGAAAGGGATTAATATGTGTAGTAAGAAGTAAAAATAATGGTTGGGTTCTAAAAAAATTACTAGACTTTTGGAAACGGAGTCATGTGAAACCAAGTTAAGAGTAAATCGATCAATGTTCGTTGTCGACGCTCTGAGTTTTGAATGATCCGAGAAGCCCTGAATGATCCGACTGCATCTTAAAAGCAATTGGAATGTTTTTTGGTTGAAAAATTGATAATCTGCTTTTTTTTTTTCATTTTTTTTTTCAAAGCACGGTAAAGTACAAAGCGATTTAATTAGCGACTGGTATCCTGCAAACATGACCAAATGACTTGTATCAATTCAACATAGAATTTTTCAATCCGCCGCTTAAGTGTGTTCTAAGAACGCAAAATATTGTGGGTTGATTGTCCCAAAGCCACATTGCAGTATTTAAAGTTAACTATGGCAATTTTCAACTTTACCAAAAATGATCACAGATGATTTTTTTTACCTTTGAGTCTACGACAGCTTTTTTTATCCGGGCAAAGCCTTGTTCATTAAGACTGCACTTAAAATGATAAATTGATAAAATTGTTAAAAAAACAGAACAAGAAGAATTTTTTCTTCCTTTTATCCCCCACACGCTATATAAACTAAATTGTGGCGTTCTTAGTCTATTTTTTTCTATTAATAAAACCAATTGACTGGCTTCAATTCAATATGAAACTTTCAATATGAAAAATTTAAAGAAAAGTCGAAAATTAACTAAATAAAAACAATCCCAAGCTAAAATATTCTGATACTTTCCTCAAAAATCGGAACAAGGAGGCTGATGGTAATCAAAACAACGCTTTTTAGGCAATCAAGGCAAACAAGTTGATTGATTTTCCTCAATTGATTAAATTTTTAAAATCATGATAATTTTTCTGATTTTTTTTCACCAAAACCGCCTCTTTTCACACGCTTTTTAAAATTCAAGAAGATGCTTTTAGCACATATTAACGCATTAATTAGATCAACTATTATACCAAAATTTAATTGAGAACAAATTCTTAGCCTGTGTGAGTTTCCGAGCGCTACTAGAACACTAAAAACACCCTATTTTGGCAAAAAAATTATCCGCTGCAGGCAATTCTTCGCAAAAAAAAACTGGTCAAAAATGACATTTTTGAGCACTTTTGAAAAATTTTGACCCACAAATTTCGTTTTTTTTTCTTGCGCGCTACCCTTCAAAATTAGTATACATTGGCGCCTAAGGCGCTCTTAGAAAACCAATAGGGTTGGTTGGCAAAAAGTGGATGATTATAAGAAGGGTTGGTCATAAAATAACAACATAAGGGGGACCCTTTGCTCAAATCCTAGATTTTACAATCTTGAAGACAAAGTTTAATTTTTTTCCGACCGTCCACTGATAGAAAGAAATGTAGGGTTTTTAACTGAAATTTTTGTTTTCTTGAAGTTAGGTGATCAAAAGTTCTGTCAAACTAAAGACTTTTTGTTAGACTAAACAAACAATTTTAGAAAAAAAAGATGTCTCAGTTTCAAAAAACTGTTCTGATTTTATCAGTTTTCCCGACAAAGAAAGCAGAAAAATCACTCTCGATTGCGAACGATGATGAACAATATACTTTTAACTTATTGTTCCGACCATTTGAAAAATGCGGAGAAACTCTTTATTCGGGTGTCTTTTAGTTTTTTTATTGTTCCAATCACTTGAAAACTATGGAAGAACTTTGTATTCAGGTGTGTTTTATTTTTTTCTTTTTTTTCCACGCAAAACCAGGTACCACAAATATTTATTGGAATGGGTCGAGTGATATATCAAATTAAAGCATCAGTTTTATAATCACTAAACGCAGAAGAAACGACACTAATTTGAAGATTTAAAAAAGTTTTTGTTCGAAGTTTTTTTTACAAATGTGATTTGAACATTCTGTGCTTCTTGCACAGCAACAAGCTATCCTTGTTTTAAACTTCTCTTTGAACTAAGTTTTTGATATCCTTTTATTCCTATTTTAGATGTCGAAATTACCTCCACGTTGAAAAACCGTCGAGTCTTACCGTTTCTAAACGTATGAAAATGTTTTGATTCGCATATTTTTCTAAAATTATTAAAACCAGCATCTTTCAGCGTGCTTATTTTTGTTCACTCATTTTACCCAAAAACATCGGAAGCTAGGCGAAACAAGAGAAGATGGTTACTGCTCAAGTATTGCATAAGGTTTCGACCACTTTAAAAATCATGATGTGATTTTTTGCATGATGTGATTAGAGTAATTAAATAAACAACACAGTTTTTTTCAAACTTGGACAACAAAACACGAAAAAACGGCTAAATGAAGATTCGAAAAGGTGTTTTCCTGGAGTGCGCATTTTCAAATAGTTTGCCAACTAGATGGAACTTGTATCAATGAAAAAAAATGGTACAGTTCGCTAATCTAGTATCTTTCTTGGAGTTTTCTTTGAGGAAATTCCTTGCCAAAAGTACTAGAGAAAAATAAAGATGTCCGAAAGTTCTGGTTTTTGCTTTTTAATGATGAAAACATCTCGATCAACAGTTAGCTGATAAAGAGCATTAATTAAGTATAATCTTAGTGGAACTTATAGAAATAACTATCTAGAAAAAAAAAACATTTCACCAACTTCAAAAATGTCATGGCCAGTTTTCATAATATAAGTAGCAATCCAGATAGCTGAAATGAATCCGAACGCAGTGACCAAGTTCAAGTTTCTCTGAATTCGTTTCTTTTGCTTGAGTAGAACTCTGGCGATGCGAATGTAGTAGTAGACTGACCAGAAGCAAGGGATGAATACAAATACCACACTAGATATGATACCTGTCATTAGTCGCAACCATTGATTCTAACAGTGTGGACAGTGTACTCTTCACCTCGCCCCTCCCGACACCCCCACCCCCCTCCCCTCATCCTCTCAGCCCCTAACTTAACAGGACGTGCGTATACAAATGAAATAAACTCATTTTCCTAAAAATATTTTATTCTGCTTCTCATGGAGTTTTTAATAAATTTGAGCGACAAAATGAAACTCAAAATCGGCTGTTAAAAAGTTGAAACGAAATGTCGATGCGGGAAAACGGCTGTTAAAACGTGGAAACGAAATGTCGATGCGAAAAAACGGCTGTTAAAACGTTGAAACGAAATGTCGATGCGAAAAAACGGCTGCTAAAACGTTGAAACGAAACATCAATGCCGGAAGGCTTTGACAGTGCTCTTAATGCAAGATAGTTAAGCATTTCATTGCACTAACTTTGTGTCTATACTTTTCGCCAACAATTTTTAGCAATCGAAACTTCACTTAAATCTCAGAATTGCTTTTTTGATCAAGTAAAAGGTTTTTTGAACAACTTTGAAGGGAAAACGGTACGCAGATTTGGTAGATCAAACAGCTATATGTCATCAAAATATTCAAAAAAATTGACCAATTGAAATGTGGGAAGAAATGGTTGGATGGGAGCGGTGAAAAGAGTCCCTGTAAGTCGCCGATAGCCGGACCCCGGTCACAAAACCAGTCGCCCATGTAGTATCTCTGGGTGGCGTCCGAAACAGAAACTGCGATGAACAGAACAGTCACGAGAATTGACTGCAGGTATTTTCGCGTGGGTGAAAGTAAAGTTTGAACATCCATGGGTTTGCAAACATTCACGAAGCGTTGGTAGGCCAAAATGAAAGAAAAAATTCCTGTGTGATGATAGATTACATAAATAGTCCCCTGAAAAGGTTTTGGGCAGAAAAAAAACAATCTTTTAACGTGATGACAAACCAAATAGGCTCAAAAAGCAAAATAAACTCTGTTAACTTGATTAATATTATGAAAATGAATTTCATTTTTTACAGATTAGCTATTTTTCTATTATACAGAAAAAAAATAATTTCTCAAAAAGTCGTTTCTCATCAAACAACAAAAGTTCTTGATTTTGACAATACATTTTTACAGAGTGATTTGGGAAAAAGTAACTTTTGGAGACGCGATTGCTGTGGTTATCTATCGTCCATTCCTGTTCCGTATTCGTTGACACGCATGATCAGAAAGTCTGGCAAGCATCTCCACCAGAAAATGTTCACTTGGTACACTACTTTCGGCAGAAACTTTTCCCGGATTGAGTCCCGCCAACCAGTATAGCGGGTGAAGGAACTTGGCTGAGAAAAAGGTTAAAAGTACAATCTAGGCTCAAATGGCATAAAATAAGTTCCTTGTATGCAAGTGATTTCCCGGAGGTGAACGCTCCTGTTAATTTAAATTATGCTTTTTTCGAATCCAAACATATATATCTGACTTTTATTTGTGCTGCTTAAAAATCAGAAATCTAATGTGCCTATTATTGAAATATGTTATTCGTTCATGCAGTTTCTCGGGCTTTGTTGTTTGGTGTAACGGGAGTCTTTAGCATTTCAGCACTTCTCTTGTTTTCGAAAGTTACTGTTGCGACTATTTTTTGGCAGAGTTTCGCTTTTCAGATTTTTGACAGCTTGTCATTACGCAAAAATATGTATACTAGATTTCATCAAACATATTTATGAGAAAATGCACCATCTACAGGATCTGGTCAAGTTAATCAACTCATATTTATAGACAATTGCAGTCCGAGAAGCAAAACTGAAAGAATGGATATGTTTTCATTTAGAAGCCAAAGTCTGAACGAAAAGCGCCATGCGCTACCAAAAGTAAAGTAGTATGTCGACCTGAGTTCGCCTTTATTTAAGAATTTGTTTTATGGAATTTTTCAATATTTACCTTGAAGAATATGGACTGGGAAGGGTGATATCGGGCGACTTGAGATGTGAGCATAAAGCCCATGAAGCCAGGACCTGCAGTTGGAAACGGGCCAGTTATTCAAAAGCTACTTTTAAAATGAACCGAATACATTGTTCATAGATGATCTTCTCCATAAACAAAACTATAAACCAGCTTTATAATTCATACATTTAACTGAAATATTCGCAAACTGTACTGCAAGTAACATTTTCAGGAGTTTTTGTTTGACTTGTTTGAAAAGCTGGATCTCTCAAAATGTTTCCCCTATTGCAGCAGTGAAAATAAGGGGAAAAATTGATAAAGAGATCCTAAACATTTTATAGTCTTTTTTGGATTAGCCAAATTCTGATCTTGGATCTCGGAAAATCTTTTTGGTCGACCTATAAAAGGCCTGACACTATTTTCAAAGTTTTCGTTCTGACCATGAGAATGGGGAGAAACTTTGTATTCGGTGTTTTAGTTTTTTTTTCTCGCAAAACCAGGTACTACAAATAATCATTAGAACGGGTCGAATGATTTATCATATCAAAGCTCTTTCAGAAGTGATTCGAGCAACAGTATCGAGAAAAGCTTATTTAAGACTGGCTTAAAATTATCGAAAAGAAGTTGGTTTAAGAACTTGCAAAACGATCCAGTAACGTTCGTTTTAGATGAAAATTAGCAAAATAAGCTAAAAAATTTGATTTCATTTAGCGCTTATCTCTTAAAACGACATTCAAAAAATGAAAATCTTAGTGCAAAAAAATTTTTAAAAAGTTTTGTTTGAAAAAGTTTTTTTTTTCAATTTTTTATTGAATTCTTTTTTGAAGACAGTCGCTTATGCCTAATTTGATAAATTTATACGCGTTCGTATAGTTCTATCATCACACGACGCGCAAAAATGACACTAATTTGAAAAAAAAAATGAGAATGCGGTCGGAACATTTTATGCAACTTGCTCCGCAACCTACCTACTATCAGTGCTATAATTATCATTTTAAATTCTTTGATTCATAATATAATGCTAATAAGATATACTTGAGGCACGTTTCCAACTCTGCTGACCGGTAGCGAGACAGTCGATGATGTTTGTCATGAACACAGGGTAGTTCTGCAGTTCCCGCAAATCAGAAGAAGTGAGAAATGCAACAGCCAAGTAGAGACTCACACAAAAGGACACAAAATTTAATGCTTCCTAAAAAACACTTTTCATTAAATTTTGGTCCGCCACTAGAAGTTTTGGTCAGTTTTTTTGTATGGACCAATAATTGAAAAGGTTCCCGAGAAGTTGTCTGATTGAAAGTTTCGCGCTGCAAATGTGATCCACTAAATTGATGTACAATAGAATAACTGAAAGAATAGATTTGTTTAGTGTAAAGGCCAAAAACCTAATCCAATTTTTAATTCTTCTTGATCTGCTAGCCATTTGACAAAGCTACTGATTTGTACAGATCTATTTAGTAGTTATCTCTCACTATCACAATGTAGGGGAACTGCTTGCTTCGTTCATGCATGCTGAACCTCTAGATAGAGATGGGGGGGGGGGGGGGGTGGGGTGATGTGTGAATAAACATTCAGATAATGTGGCAGATAATAAAATAGTTCAGACTCGCCATGATGAATGAAATGACGAGTACAATGTTTCTTTCTGTGTGTGAGTCAGAGATTGAAACTAGCCCTGAAATGATGAAATCTCTGTCCTCGTCAGTCCAATATTGCATAGGAGTGAAGACCACGTCCACTATACTCTGCTGGAAAAACTCAGATCTTCCCCAATAACTGCTCCCGAGATCAGACATAGTTAAATCCTCCATTTTGCTAGAGATGTCTTCTCAACAGTATTCCGCTTTTGTAAAGCAACATTTTTCATTTTATTAAAAAAGGTAAATACTACTAAAAGCTAAGTTCAAGGTTCTTAACAAAAACGTTGCTCAACAGCATAACTCCCCCTATCCCCCTAACCACCCCCCCCCCCCTAAACCCGCCCCTGCATTAATTATCAATTTTTTGTTGATTTTGCATTTAAATATTTTAGATTGTTAAGTAGATCCAATGTAAAGAACTTTCGTAAAATTTGAGCAAAAGTAGCCCGCTGATATGTGCAAGAAAGTCAAAAAAGTTTTGGCCGGTGCTCCCAAATGCAGAAAAAAAACATAAAGAAACAAAAACGTTAAGATCACTGTTTCCCGACACGAAGATATATATTCAATATGAATCGAATCGCGACTAATGTGGCCTTAAAACGATATATCATTCGACTTTCTACGACATGCTTTTGACGTAGCTGACCTGCTTACAAAACATAGTTGAGCCTTTATTCCTTGCTGCTTTGTGGTCAAAGAAAAAAAAATAGGAAAGCAACAAAAAAAAAGCGCAAGTTATATCCAGTAAAGCGTGAGATTCAATATCTAGTATTTTTCAAGGGGGGAGCGCGCGCTGAAAAAAACACGGTTTTTAAGCCTGTTTTTTTTTTAAAAATAAAATCGCCTTTTTCAAACGCTTTTTTAGCCTGTTTTTTCAATAAAATTTACCTGTGGCGCAAAAAAGTTTGGCCAAAACAGTACTGGTCTTTGTAGTGATTTGGGAGAGCTTGACAAAATAATTTAGTCGACCTAAAAAAGGTCGTCAGCAAAATGACAATTTTTGACAAAATGTCGACGACCAAATGTCAGAGACGTCTGAGAACAGGCAGAATTTGTATCATGACGATCTCCTAGATTTGGTTCTTCCAAGTGGTCATTTGAATAAATTATATTGATCAATGTGAACATAAACTGGAAACAATTTATTATCATTAAATTAATTTTTAAAACTTTTTTGAAAATCAACCCTCCCCCCCCCCCCCCCCCCCCGAGGAAACCCTAGATAGCGGGGCTGAGATAAGTGCCTAGTCACACAAAAAAATTTTAAACTTCTTTGTTCAAATTTCAAAAACTGTTTTTGGTTTTGAGTGAAGAGAAATTGGTACAGTCGTATCTGATTTTTGGGATGTAAAAAATATTTTTATCAGGTAAAAATCTGATGAACCAACCAACCAGCTGCAATAGGCGGGAAGTTGAGCGTGTATAGTTTCCCTGCCAACACACAAAACACAAGAAACCGTAAGCTTAAGATCACAAAAATACTGCGATCTGAAACATCTTTGATGAACATTAAAATAAAAATGCTTCAACTTCAAGGTACTCAATTCTAAAACTTAGCGTATTTAAAGAAACTTCATTCAAAATTTATCATGTTAATTGCCAAAAAAATGCGGAGAAGGTCAAGCGTGCCAAAATTTTCTGGTTTTTTTTCAAGATAAGGCGCCTCAATTAAGTTTACCTGGTAAGTGCCATAACAAGTTGGCACCCATTTAGCCTTAAAGTTAGTTGCAAGGAAAAATGATGATCTTTTTCAACTTTGAAATTCAAAATCAAAGTTCCTTCGATGATAAATATTTTGAAACGTTCACTTGTAATTACACAGAAACAGGTTACTCAAATCAAAGACGATATAGTCAATTTTTCTTCGCCTCATCAAAGTCGATTTCCATCGCATGGTATGTTTATTTGTTATGTTGATTATCAGTACTGACCTGTGAAAAAAACCTCAGGAGGACCAGTAATAATCTAGGATCTACTTAAAAATTGCCACCCCTATTAATAAAAGCAGTAATTAGCACTAGAGCTAGCTTTTTATTTAAAATTCGAATTTTGCTGCAATCTGATTGATCGAAAATGCGTTATTTTAATCTATTTAAAAATTGCTCCCCCCTTTTATGAAAAGGGGGCAATTGTTAAGTAGATTCAAAATCTATATTAGAGCTTTAGAAAAACATCAACTGCATGTCTAAAAAAATTCGAAAGAAATTACTTTTAAAATGAAATTTTAAAAAGTGTTCGAAAAGCAAACTTTACTTTTAAGTTCAGCTGGTGGCAAAGTGATTGGAGTAAAAAATGGAAGTTTTTTGCATCATCAAGGCGCCAAATCGTGGAAAAAAATGATAAGGAAGTCTCAAAAAACAATCTTGATGGATTTACAAAGAGTAATTAGCAGGAAAAAAGCAAAAATATCATATTTTATTCTGCTTAATCTTATCTAAACTCAATACTTGTTTCTTCTAATGAAATCACGAGAAACTCTCGCCTTAATTGTTTTGAAGCTAATTTAGTGAGCGTTGAATGATTTATTGCTGCAATTAGCATAAAAATCTAAAGTATGTAGCTTAATGGTAGCATCACATAATAATGGAAAGAAGTCAGATCAAGTTTGACCTAGTCGAAGTTCATTTTCCGTTTCTTCTGAAAAAGTTTTCATAAGAATCAACCATTTGAAATCGATCAACCGTATCTTATTAAATCAAACAGATGTATGATGGACTCACATTATGATACCTTTCTTTTTTGTGAATCTTTTCGAAGATTTAGCTGAAAATGGAATCAAATTGTCAATTGTTGTCCCTACTATGCAGGGATTGGCAGTGGGATTGTTTCGGGCTTTTTTTTCTCCTGATATGGGTCATCTTGCTTCTTGTCTGCAATCATTTAAAGCGTACGCATCGTTTGAAACCGCGGTCGAAATCACTAGAATTGTCCCGCAGATCTTATCTCCTGAGTAGCGCTGCCACTCTTTCCTTAGGGTGGTCCGCCAACAATGTTCTTATTCACGAAGCTGAAGTCTTTTCCATATAGTCGCACCGCGGCTCAAAACCTCGACAAGATAAGTTTTGTTCCAAACAAGACTGCTCGTATATCAGGGCAAGACCCTGAATGTTCCCACTATGCCCCTTAATCCAGATCGAATAGTTTTTGGGAAAAGAAAACACTGGAAATCTATAAAATTTGGACAGTCTATATCAAAGACCAAGTGTAAAAATTTGAGTCGTACGAAATTAATACGATCGAATAGCTAAAGCCTCAATTCAATTTGGAAGGATTTTGTTTTGCGTGGTAGTTAGCCACGCATAAATAGTTGGCGTTACCCTTTCAACATTACAAAATGTTTCAATCGCACATAAATTGAGCATGGCCAAACTGGAAATTTTCAAACTCCCAGAACTTTGCATAAAACGATCAAGGATAAAAAATCTTTTTACATTTGATGTCAGGGATTCAATATCTTCAAGGAGATATAAAAATTTTTTGTTAAAACTGTTATGTCGATCGCCGAAAACTGACTGAATGAAAAAACCACACCGCGCATAAATACGCTGTTTTCTTCGAAAGTTGGAACAATAACGTTATATTCATGACTTAAAGTTTATCAATAACTCGAATACACAGGAGAGCGTTGAATTTAATCTACAGTTTGGTTATTTTCCGACTTTTGTAACAAAAGTAACGGAATAATTGTGCTCTGGTGGCGTTTTATTTTGTTCAGACAAGTTTCGATTTTATTGACGGACTTTTTTATAATTCGAAAGCTATTGTTGTCCTTAGCTTAAACTTGAAAAAATATTTTCCTCCTATGAGCATTTTTTGTATAAAGATATGGGGGTTTTAAGATTGCCATTTTTGACCAATTTGGGACAATTAACGCGCAAGGGGAGGTTTAATCCGTCTTAGAAACTGTTCCGAATTGGTTATTTGCTGTTCCAGAAGGAAGCTTATTTGCCATAAATGATTTGTCACTAGGAGCGAGCAAAATCTATCACTTTGTATTTTATATGACGTATGGGGTGATGATTTTCACACACAAAAATCTTAAAGTTATAGAAATAAAAATCAAATTAATTTATTACTTTTATTTATTCCAAGTTATTAATGATCCATAGACCTTAAATAGCAGTCTGAACATTCGGAGTTTTTTTTTCTTTTTAAAATTATATTTGATGTTCTTATGTTATTACTGCTCCATAGACCTTTTCAGGCTGTCAAACATTTAGGGCTTTGCCCAGATACAAGCTTTAGGCAATATCAAATTGTGTAATGTTGAGTCGTACAAAACTAATCGACCGATTTGGTTAGCTATCCTCAATTCAATTTGGAAAGTTTTTGTTAGGCGGGTCAATTTTCAAACCCCCAGAACTTTACAAAAAGCGATTGGAGGTGAATATCTTTTTAGATTGGAATTCAGAGAGTCAATATCTTTAATGGGGCATAAAAAATTTTGTCGAACAATTTCATTTCGATTGGCGAAAATTGTTTGAATAAAAAAAAGCACATCGAGCATAAATAATCCGTTTTCTTCGAAAGTTGGAACGAAGATGAATTTGATCAGCAGAAAATTTGTAATGATTGATTTCAATCTTCGTGCTCGTATTTCAGCAGATCAATCAAAAACATTCATCAACTAAATTTTTATTAGAAAAACACCAAATTTAAACAGGAAAACAGAGTTCTAAGCGATAAAAGAAAACGGTTATCGAATTTAATACAAATTGCTTTCTGAAAAACTGTTAGGATAAAAGTTTCGGAAATAACAATTTAATGAAACTAATCTATCATTTAGAGAAGACTGATTGAAAAAAATGGAGACTCAGTTTGGTATATCTTCTGTAATTATGTCTAAATTGCAATCAGGCGCGGATCTAAGA